GATAGGGACTCTGGGGCAAGTGATGCTCTGTAATCTTGGTGCTGGGGGGGGGCAACAGTGGGAGGGCTTCTAGTGTCCTGGCCCCACTGGGGGACCTCCTGATGGCACCTGGTATTTTTGGCCACCATGTGACAGAGTGTTGGACTGGATGGGGCATTGGCCTGATCCAACATTGGCTTCTCTTATGTTCTTAAACTGTAGTCTGACATTCTCATCACTTCACCACATTGGCTGCCTCCCCTAAATATTAATATAGCACTATTGGCCTTCACTGGAGTAACTTATGAAAAACTCTATTCCGTGTTCCTTCATCCTTTCAAAAAAAAGAGAGAGGGAGAGCTACATATTCCCATTCCATCATTATCCCAATTACATTCACCTGAACACTACATTAGAAATAATCAGCCTATTGGTCCTTGCACTGGGCTGCTTTAAAAATCTCTACAGCCTCTTTAGACCATGGTGGTAGTTTTCTCATCACTTCATAGGAGAAACGTTCTGCAGTCATATAGTTATACAGCTTTGTGTACAATTTCAAGTGTAGGATCTGTAAGAACAGGGAAGCTGCTAGATTTGTGTTTATTCCATGGAATCTGCACCTCAAAGGCAGAAAGGAAAATATGTAATTGACAGAGATGTGAAGGATAAACCATGTTTCAGTGTAACCCCACTGCCATTCAGTTCTACACATAACTAGCTTCTAAAATAATAGGTGCCAAGATTCAAGCGAGCCTAGAATTCACACACTGACCTGTCATACCTGCCTCCTGTTCCCAAAGGTGTCAAGGATGGGATGTGTTTACTCAATGGCAAGTGTAATGAATTCTGTACACACTCTCAGGCACTCTTCACATATTTCTGATTTGTACCATGGCTTTCAAAATAGGAGATGTAAGTAAGCCCTGGATGGAAATATATGGGGACATGTACCTTTTATCAGCCCAAAGATATCGAATTTGATTCAGGCGTCGTATTTGTAAGGCCGCCTCGGGAAAAGCGCTTGCCAGTGTTAGAGTTCTACGCACTTCTCATTGTGTCTAAAGGCACTTACCACGTGGGCCAGCCCAGTCACTTGTGTTGTTAACATGTCAACGTTTGGCGGGCCAGGAGGGTGCGCCATCGACATGCTAACGCGATATGCGATTGGGTCGGTATCCCTGGCAGACGCATTTAAACCACATTGAGGCGGTCCTGGAATGTTTACAAGGGCTAGCGCTTTCCCCATGCGCCTGTTTCAGTAGCCGCTGGGATCTTCCGCGAGTCCCCGCTTCAGATGTTATGTGTCTATTATTCAGTTCTTCCCAAATTCCAGCTACCCGGTTGCATGAGCAGCTATTTAACGTCAGCTGCGGCAAAGTCTGAACCGTATTAAAGAGTTGAAGCCTGTTTTAAGATGTTTAAAAAGCGATTATCTCCCCCCCCCTCCGGCCCTACGGGAAGCTACGGCCACTTTTTAAATTCCCAGTCCAAACAGTGACTTCCCGGTCTTGACAGCTTTGACTGCCGACTGTGTTTACATTCTGCCAGCAGCTCCACGTTGCCGAGTCTCTTTTCCTCCTGATTGGCTAGGAAGCGGCCTCCGACTCCGCCCAGGGGCGGGGCTCTATACGCCAACCTGTCTGCCGCGCGTGTTGCAATGGGAAAGTTGAGAGCAGAAGTAGAGCCTTCTCTCGCGCGGTCTCACCCTGCAGCACCTGATCGCTGGACGCTGGAGGTGGGGCAGGGAGGTGTTGCCACGCTTGTCACACCCGCAGGGATTAGTACGAAGCAGACTGCTGCTGTAAAAGGCAAAAAAGAAGTCTCGGGTTCATTTGCAAAAAAAAAAAGGCACCCTGAAAGCCCGCCAGGTTTCTTGGTAGTACAAGCTACCTACTTCCACCGGCTGCATGAAGTGAAACGGCAGTCCGAAAAGGGTGCTTAGGGTGTAGGAGCCGGAGGAACTCCCTGCGACTCTATCCCGAGGAAATTGGGATGAGCGCAGTTTCTTGCCTGTGTAGATCGGTTCTCCCTCGGCTTTGGGGCGGCACGATGACCTCCCGCACCTGCTTCAGGGAGCAGGCATGGCCTCCACCCCACCTCTTGGCCGCGGGGCTCGTTACCGCGAGAGAGTTCGGCCAGTCTCAGGCAATGGCGCTCGGGAAGTGCATTTGGCGGGCTGAAAGGGAAGCAGGACGTCCCTGCGCCGGGGCTGAGCGACGCTGTTGAGCAATGA